CATTTATGGTTTGATTTCTTTGTATGTATGGATCACTTGGGTTGTTACCAACATCTGGTGAAAATTTCATGTCATTAGCACCTCTAGTAATATAAATCACCTCTCCTGGTGCACGAGCAGCTGATACGCATTCATCAGTTTACGCAGCTCATTTACACACTTTTCCTGAAGATAGAAGTTTGTTGAATCTGACCTGACATGTTCGTACGAACCCTTCATACGAACAAAAGTAAGAGAAATTTAGGATAAGAATATGAACATGTTCTTGCATGAGGCCCAATGATCCAAACACAGCAGCAGGTCCACCTTTGAATGGCTGAAGGTTCATCCTCTGTACGTTTTTCTCTTAATAACAAAGACCTTCATTTATGAACTGCATTCTGTATTTTATCTTTGTCTACTATTTAAATTTGTTTAGTGATTTGAAACATTTAAATGTGACAAACGTGTCGGAAAGAGGGCAAACACTTTTTCACACCACTGTATTTGTGGAGTTACAGTAAATTAGGCTAAAATAACATCTAAAAACGCTGCACTGTTTGAAATTATTTACCACAAAAGTAAGAAAAAGTACACAAGCTAAACATCTAAACTATATTTAGTCATTTTGGGGGACCCAAAAACAGCAAAATAGAAAGCAAACATACCATCATCGTATCAGCTCCATCATCTTCCTCCTCTTCACCCTCCTCCTCCTCATCACGCGTGCACCGTGGTCGCTCTTCAGTTTTTCCTTTCTATAAGCCCAAAACCCACAGGAAGGTAAATAAATGGCAAAACCTAAACACACGTCAGCACTTTTAGTGCCGCCCATCAGTTGAACAGTGAAGGTTACTTTATGATGAACAAACAAAATTACTAAAGAAAAATCCTTATGTAACCTCTTTCTGTTTTAGTAAAAAAGATCAGAAGAAATACCACCTGTGATCCTCATTCAGGTGTTTTATTTATGGTCGTAGTAAACAAAGCTCAAGTATATTACATAAGTTTCTTGTTTCTGTTTTAATAGCAGGTTAACTGACTGCTGGATATGGCACCAGTGACCCTGAAAGGAAGCAGCAGGTAAAGATGATGGATGTATGTTTAGAGACACACACCTTGGACTTGGCTTCAGCCTTGTTGTTTGTCTTTGTATATTTCTCTTTAGAGTCATCTTCAGCTGCCTCATCCTCTTCATCAGACCCCGCCTAACAATCCCAGAAACAGAAATAAGTTGGAGAAAACTTCAAAAACATTTGCAGTCCTGCACACGAGAAACTATGAGTGTAGTGGACTCATTTACAGAATTGATCTTTAGGGGGAGGGGATGCTGCGCCGAGAAAAAAACAACAACATGCACATGTGACTCTGGTGTGTCAGCGTGGGTTGAGGGGGGACCGGGGGGACCCTTTCTGCTCCAAACAGCCATAATACATTCTTCCCATCTCAAATGAACATTTTAGATATCTCAAAGAAATCTCACTAAGACACACGTTTCTGACATCTACAATCCCAGTGTTATCATTATAAATTAACAATGTGATTAACAACTTCTTGTTTCACATAATTTGCAATTAATCTCAGAGAAAGCAGCAAGGTGACAAAATTGGATAAAAAAAAAAACAAAACAAATGGAAAGAAAATATCCAAAACTCACCTTTACTTTTCTAGGCTTGCCCTTCTCTTTTTTCTTCACCCTCTCAACCTCCTGTTTTAAAGACACAGCATAGACCTCTAATGACTTAGGTTACATTCTTAAAGGGGTAATATCATGTAAAATCAACTTTTTTGAGTTTTATATCATGTTATAATGTTATACTCTCATAAAAAAAAAAAACATGCCCAAAGCCTTGCTCTGACTCATTCATGCATGTTTGAGAAATCATGCAGCGTTTTTAGGAAGCCATGCTGAGGAGCAAAATGACAGGTGGGGATCAGAAACGCCCCTGGGACGTGTCTTTAAGCCGAACTTCCTCATGGCATTGCACCCCCCGCCGACTCCTGCAGGCTCTCGGGTGAAAGTGAAAGTGAAACTTAAATTGTCTGCTGAGCTCTCAACATTAGTTCTCACTCAGTGAAGCTCTTTTTAGATTAAAAATACCTTTGAGGAAATGTATTTTCAGATGCCAAGTAAACTGCATAATGGCAGCCCCTCCCCCGCTACAGAAATGGGCAAAACGGAAGCGGAAGGAGGTTCTTAAAGAGACAGAGGCCAATTTCAAGGCGTGTAGAAGAGGAAGTGATGAGAAGATAAGTTTATTTTCTATTTAAACATAAAAACAGCATTTTAATAACAACTAAAGGTGACACAGATACTTTATTATGGTATAGTATTTAAATATATGCCTGAGAAACACATAATATTGGCCCTTTAAGGAAGACAAGTTGTTGCAGAAACACAAACATCACCAAGCTGCACATTCTTATTTTTGTGATTTTGATCTTTTTTAATTACACTGCTCTTTACTGTACTCTAACACTGTAAGAATCAGGTTTACTGCTCAACTCGAGCAGGGGTCTCTGCAGTGTGTGTTGTCTTGTGGGTGGAGACAGCCCTGCTCGTGATTGGAGGAGGTTTTAATGTGGGCAAAGTTGACCCTAACTGTGATCGTTAAGATTGATTTGTCTTGTGGAGCAACTTTAAAGGAGGAAGTAATAACGGTAAAATAATATGATTTATTGACTGTTTAGGTACAGTTTAGAACAGAACCATGACTCAAATAAAAATTATTGTGAACATGTAAACATAATTTGTCTTAAATTTCATGCAGTAAGCTTTTTCCTGTCTCAAATTATGACTAATATTCATGTTGATTTTGAGCGATTTTTTTTACAGGCTGGTTAGGGATGTTTTGACCGAGCCAAACTGTTACTCGTCCCTCCACGTGTACAGCGTTCGCATTTTGTGCAGCTAGCACTTTCCTTTCTCAAGTTATGACTAAAATTAATCTTAAAATGTTGCTTCCCGCCCGACTAGACCAAGCTCCTCGCCGTCTCCGCCCACAAGACAACATGTACTGCAGAGACCCCCATCTCTCTCAGCTGGGGCAGAAATGTAGAGTTTGACTGTTCTGCATAGATTTCTCAGGTTATGCTAGTTTCCTCCCATAGACTTAAAACATACAGATTCAGTTTTTTGGCAACGTTAAATTGTATAAGTTTGTGTGCAAGAACATGATGTAGGGGTCACCTCGAGTGAAGAAACAAGATTTACTGCCTCGAAGCAGGCCTCGGACAGGCCTGACGAGAAGACAGGAACTCTGTCACAAACGGCTGGCAAATCTTTATCTTTCTTCTCTGACTCATCTCTAAGCCTGAGGGCGGAAGCAAAGTTCGTCCATTTTTTTTTACTAACCCGGACGGCTTTGAGCGACACACTCTTCTTTCTGATTCCAACCTAGGAAGACAGCTGGGATTCTCTCCGGAGAAACCCCAGTTTGGCTTTAAGTCTGATCCCATGAGCTAATTAGGGAAGACTTCACAGCCAGGGACCCGGCACGCCTGTCAGTGGTCTCAACCTGAGGCTGAGCCTCTAAGTCAGTTTTTAACTCCCGAGGGGAGATTTTATTTTGGAAGGAGGAACCGGATATGGCTTGAATTTTTCTGGCTTGGACTGAAACAGACGAAAGTTACCTGGAAAAACACCTGTTCGTCAATGACCAGTAAGCGAGCCGACATCAGTTCCCTGACTGATCGGAGGCGAGCCAGCTCCTACCCCGAGGGTGTCTTAAGAAGCCATCACCAGGTAAAAGCTGATGTGTTCGAAGTGACGTGTCATGTGGACCCTGAGCTTAGAAAAGACGTGCAGTTCCTGTTGACCCACACTTTGATAAAAGTAAAAGTAGTAGTAACATACTAATCTTACTTTCCTCCTTTCCTTGTTCTTAATTTGCCAAAACTTAAGCTAAAAGTGCCAGTAAAATTGTTTGGTTGTTAACATCAGAACTGACGTTTTACTGTTCTATATAAGTAATCTGAGTTGATGTGAATTGAAATTCAGACGTGGGCTTTTTCTCATTTAACTCTGACGCTTGTTATAGGAATAACCACAATCAAGTGTAACTTATGATCTGTTCAGTTTGTGTAAATAAATGATTGCATAGTCTTTTATGAATCAACTTGAACTCGTCTGAACGTTCATTAATTGTGTCACTTTTCACTTCACACAGTCAAGATATTAACAAGTAATGAGAAATACCTTGGTAAAAGTTTCCTCATAACCTTGGATATGAGAAATGTGGGAAAAGCTTAATTCACCTTAAGCTCACCTCTTACAATGAATAGTGTTTTTTGTGAAAACTGACAGACTGGCAACCTGTTCAGGGTCTACCGCTAATTCCCAGTTTCTGTAAATACGGTATGTCATGAACCACTGGACAGACTGTAATAAACATGACATCTCACTGTTGCATCAAACTGAACATGATCACATCATTGTTCAAGGTTTGATCGAATCAGCCACTCTACCTTCTTTGGAGGTTTATCTTCATCGTCCAAATCTTCTTCCTCATCCTCATCCTCATCACTCTGCCCTTGGCTGAGAGCAGCAAAGATGTTCCCACCCTGAAGGACACAGAAGCAGCAACATGTCAAGAGTCAGGAGAAGGGTGAGGAACACGGTGTGACTGTGGAGTTCTGACAAACCTTCTTTTTGCTTCCTTTGCTCGTGGTGATGACTGTAAACGCACAGAAACAAAACTGTTATTTATTTATTTATTTATTTACAGAAGACAGTGCTCGTGTTTCCATCCAATTTTAATTCAAATTTTGAGCGAATTTTAATAATTTTGCAATAAAGAAAAAATTAAGAAATGCGAATCAAACAGAGTTTCCGTCAACTGGCTTGAAGCGAATCAATTACGTCATACGCATGTGCGTAGTAAACAGGAAGTAACCGTCACTAAACTCGCAGGGTCCACACATCTCAGGATAATGGAGAGAAGTTATCAGGAACGCGTTGCTACTATCAGGAAAGTTGTAATTATTCTGTTATCAACTAGTTTTGGAGATGTTACTGGTGTGTGGAGACGTAGAGAAAGAAATGTGATTTTCTTCACGTTAAGAGATTATTGAGAACACGCAAACAGCGGGAGGAGGGTCCTGCTGCAGCCGACCTGAAACTGGTACCGGTACCGTGGAACAGCAGATCAGCTACGTGAGGTAAATGTTCGCTACGTCACAACTTATTCAGCAAAAGTGTTTCCATCAGTTCTTTTGCACATTAAAGGGGACCTATTATGCATAATTCACGTTTTAAAGTTTTTTTTACTCAACTTTGGGTATGTACTTCTTAAAAAACAGTCCTAGGACCAAAAAAATGCACCCAGGGGCATATTTACTGTAAGTAAATGTATTTTTAATGTATATTAACAACAAGTTTTATACTTCCGTAATTTTGTGATGTCACAAGCCGTACGACAACCCACCTGAACCTGCGTTCAGCCCCTTTCCTAGCAACCCCCGGGTGAAACTCCACCTCCTCAGTATAAAAAGCCGTCACCGTGTTGTTGTGTAATGTGTAGCTCATTTCACAACAAGCCTCCAATAGGGCAATGGGTAGAGTGTTGGACCAGAGAGTGGGAGACCAGGGTTCCAGACCAGCACAGACACTATTTAATTATTTTTTTCCTTCGTTATGAACACATTTTCTCATGTACCTCTATTGTTTAGCTTATTAAAGCCTTGTTAAAGCCTATTTGTTCGAGTTTCTGAGGTATTTTGACCGCTGCTGCTCCCTGCTCTGGTAACAGCATGCAGAGTGAGCGCAGAGCAGAGGAGGGAGAAAAAAAAGAAGCTGGGACCACGACTCTGCCTCTGGGTCTCATATGGTTGTACAACGGAGCTTCTGCTATTATTAGCCATGCTAACGTAAATGCTGGCTTTGGAGGGCGGAGTTAATGTCAACAGATTTTTGGAGGGCGGAGTTAATGTCAACAGATTTTTGGAGGGCGTTACCAACAGAGCTCATTAACATAAACAGCTCTTCTGAACGGAAGTCAGAGCAGAACTAGAAAATGGGAAATTTTATTATCTGAGAATTATTTTGTGCATTAAATTGAATGAACATGGTCTGGATAGCCCACAGACAAACCATAAACATTTCTAGGACCCATAAGTCTCCTTTAAGTGTTTTTTTAAAAACCCAAAAAACACCTCAAGCGAGTGTAAAAACTTTTTAACGAATTGAGGATTTTTTTTTTGAATTTTGCTGTTTCCATCCGACTTTTTTTCCGCATTTTTAATGCGACACTTCTAGCCTGGCCCTTGCCTTCCTACGCAGCTCCGCTCAATTCTAGTTTCCTTTCACTGCTCTATCTGAGACTTCTCCCTTTAACAAGGATTTCACTGGCAGATTTTTAGCCGAACCAATCAGAGAACAGAACGTCAATTTTCTGCACAGTGTCAGCTTGTAGTTTATTTTACCTTGGCCAATCAGCAAACAGAAGGAGTAGTTTTGAATGACGTTGATGTTCTGCACAGTGTCTGCTAGTTATTTTAGCATACAGCAGTGGAGGAAGTGAATGAAGTCAGTCTGTGTTGATAAGGCTTACAAATTAAATTAAATTTGTCTGACAAAGCAGCAGCTCTCATTTACAGCCGTCTCGTTCAGCTCGGTACTTTTCTCCTCTCAGTAGGGTTGTTTACAGGGCTCGCAATTTCTGGTTAGCTTCTTAGCTTAGCCTCATTCACACCGACAACACATACATGCTTCAGCAGAGGCCACGCCTCCTGCAAAAAAATCAATTCTCTACGCATCAAGTCCAGACCCTTGTACGAAGCAAAGTGAAGGACAAGGGTCTGGTTTGAACCAGGCTACGACACTTCTAAATGCGCATCAAAAAGCCTTGATAGAAACACAGTTAGTGAGCATTTCCCATTTGACTTTGCATCAGTCATACCTGGCTCATCATCTTCATCACTTGGTTGTGCAGAGAGCTTTTCCAGCATCAGTGTTAGATCCTCCTCATCTTTCTTGTCTGCATCACGTTTTCCTTTTCTTTGCTCTTTCTTCTTTTTCTGAGGTTGAAAACAACACATTCAAATAACTAAATAATAACAGAATCAGATCTTATGGAAAACCCTAAAGACAGTAAGAAGTACAGAAGGCCACTACATTATATCCTGAGTAGGAATTCCTTAGAATTCCTGTCCTCCAACCAGCCGGTCGAGGCAAATGGTCTCCTGTCCTGAGCCTGGTTCTGCTGGAGGTTTCTTCCTGATTAGCAGGGAGTTTTTCCTCTCCACCGTTTGCTCAGGATGGGAGACTGTGATGAAGTGATTCAACACAATCTGCTGGTTTCTTCTTTAGCTTGTTTTTTTATGTACAGTGCCCTGAGACAACGTATGTTGTGACTTGGCGCTATAAAAATAAACTTGAACTTAGTAATTTGACCAAATCCAACCTAATCTCTGATTTGATAGATCAGACACAGTATTGATTTTAGTCTCTATGAAGGTGCACAACTCTTACTTTGTGTCTTTTGCTTTTAAGATCATTCAGATTAATATTATGTTAAACCAGAAGATACTGAGTTTGTAATGTTATTTTCTCAGTGATGAATACCTGTTTTCCTTGAGCTTCTTTCACAGCCACCTCCTCAACCTTTTCAGGTTTGCTGTCTGTTGCAAGTTCCTCAAAGAACTGGAGGAAAAAACAAACATCCAATGAGACACATTGGGCCATCAGTTAAAACACCAGCTGTGATGGATTTTAACAATAGAATCACTGGATACTCACGTTCTTTTTTGCCTTTTTATCTTTCTTCCCCTTTTTCACAGTTTTCTCTGCTGGAAAGACATCGTATAAATTAACATTCATGCTCTATAATGGACATAAAGTCCAGACATTCAGCTTTCATTTGAGGGTATCCACATTAAAACTGGATGAAGGCTTTAGGAGTTTCAGCTCCTTAACATGTGCCGACCAAACGTAATTGAACAATTGACTCAAAAGCTATTTCATGACATGAAATAGCCTGAGAATAAGAATATGAGAATAACAAAGGAATTTCCCACACATGCACATTGTGTCCATTGACTAGTAGAGACAATACTTAGATTTTTTCACTTTCCTGCTGATGTTAAACATGGAGTTAAGGCAACAATGGATCGTGGCTATCCACAGGGAAAACATAGACATAAAAGCTCACACTCCTGTTTGTAGTCGGCATTTTTTAAGCCTGCAACAACAACTAATCGATAAAAATTATTATTAAAAGCGCTGGCAAAAAATTTGATTATCAATTTGTTGTGTCGCGCGATTTATGATGGTATTAATTTAATGATTAGGCTTTAACTTTTAATTTGTTGACTATAACTGAGTGAAGACACTCCGTATTTGCCTTAAACTAAAACTGCAAATAAAACAAGGTATTTATTGAATTCTTGTAATGAGCAGCTGTCTGCACTGAAAATATTCCTAACATGATGTCACTGACATGACACTGTCCATGGTCAAACATAAAGATTTCACTATTATAGTTCATCCTTATATTTCAGGTTACACTCTTCCCTCAAGGACATATTTTACAAAACTCACAGAAAGAAAATCTGAAGAGACTTTTAAGGATATAGCACACATTTGTATATTTTTGTACATTCATTTTTTTAACTGAAGCTTTTTGACAAATATTTAATTATTTATGAATTATAACAGAATTCTCAAACAGCAACCTGTTTTTTTTGTGCGATTTGTTATGTCAGTACAAATTTTCTATTTTAGAGTAATTATTATAATCCAATTCATTGATTATTCAAAAAAAAAAAGATTAATCGATTATTATAATAATTGTTAGTTACAGTCCTATTTCGAAGCTGAAGAGCCAGCATCAGAAATGGGAAGACTGTGGTTAAAACATTGTTCGAGTAGAGCAATTACCGTATTTATTCATGTATAATACGATCATCATTTTTTGAGCTTACAAAGCGTAAAAATATAATTAAAATAACCAGTGTATAATACTATCCCCCAACTTTATGAATAATTTTAGGGTTAAATTTCTAGTATTAAACATTAATAAATAAAGTACTCCCTTTCACTTCCAAGACCAGGGGTGTTGGCGATAGGGTTGGGCATAATCGTATCATGTGCAATTAATTGTCAGAAAAACATTAATCGATTATTTTTTGGCACTTGACGATTAATACGATTAATGCCACCAGGCAGACTGACTGGTAATTTCCTCATTCCTCTCCGCTTCAAATATGACGAACATAAAAAAATAAATTCTGAAATTGATTTATCTATCAACACAATTTAAAATTTGACCAAAGTCTGTAATTTTGACAATTCGGAACAGATTTTTATGAAGAGCAAATCTTTCCCACCAAATTGGTCATGAGACCAGGACATAAGGGTGTCCAGGGACTCCAGGGGATTAATCGCCAAATTAATCGTTATCGGCTAAATACCACAATTAATCGTGATTAATTTTTTTGCCAATATCGCCCAACCCTAGTTGGCGAGAAGGCAAAGACCCCCGCCAGAGGACTGCGGGGTTGAAGATAACACACCAGCCAGTGTAACTGTACATGTCCTTAAGGAAAATGATTATGCCTTGGCTCCAGAACATGCAGTTGTAGATTTAGTGTTGGAGGGAAATCCTCTCAGGGAGGAAACCATCAGGTTCAGTAATTTGCTGCTTCCAACAAGGACGTTAGTTTCTTCACATGGTAAATCTGTCTGTGTTTGTTCTATACAAGGAATGAAATTATTTTAGGCAACTCTTCCATGAGTTTTATGCAAAAGCAAAAAAAAAAAATGTTATTTTTACAGATTATATTAAATAGGCTAGACACAACCCCAGGACCCCTCTGGTAGTAAAGGCAGCAACACTTGCACCTGAAAATCATTTAATCATTGCAATCCACCACGTCAGGGCAACATGATCCAAACCACACAGGTAGCCTGACAAATTAAAATCCAAACTCTCCTCCTTCCAACAGTAGACCACAAAACAAGAAGCCAACGAAATAAAAATGGGCTTATTTCCTGAACTCAAAAACATAAATAACATTTTATCTTTGCCTTTTTATGATTACAAACTCTGTTAGAGTAAATTTTTCCACTTGGCTGCTATAATCCATTGTCCCTGCATTACACAGACATGATTCCTGTCTCTTTATTCACAGCCTTTTTTGTCTAAAAAGGTTAAAAAAAATACCATAACCTACTGCTGCCTGTGCACTGGAAGTGATCAGCGAGTCGGACTCCGCCAGGCACAAGAGCTGCCTGTTGTCCCTTATCCTGTTCATACCTTTTATGGTCAGTATTGTTTGGTACAGTTACAGCGCATAATGGTTGTCTCTGTTATTTGCAGACAGTGTGGTCCTGTTGATGTCGCTGCGCTGTGATCTCCAGCTCTCACTGGAGCTGAGTGCGACTCGGTCAGGAATGAGAACCGTGAATCACCACCTCCAAATCTGAGGCCATGGTCCTCAGTCAGAAAAAAGTGGACAGCCCTCTACGGGTTGGGAGAAGCGCTACCTCAGATGGAGAAGTTTAGGTATCCCAGGGTTTTGTTCAGGGTTGTGTGAGACCGACAGATCACTGGACCATACTCTGTGTGTTGTGGTGAAAAATAAGCTGAGCTGCAAGTCAAAGCTCTTTGTTTACTGGTTGGTCTAAAAGTTCCTACCCTCACTAATGGTTACAATCTGCGATAGTGACTGAAAGAACTAGATACAGGTACTTTAATGTGTTTTCTGTGCAGGGTAGCTGCTTAACGACAAGGTGAGCAGTTCAGTAATCTGGGAGAGACTCTGAGTTGCGAGGACGCCCCCTGAACAGCTCCTGTCCGACTGGAAGGACCCAGGATTTAAAGTGTATCTAACCCACCTGTGAAAAGATAACTCCGCCCCAAGGCGAAATTTGAAAAATGCATCAAAGTGGGT